TAGCATTGTACGAGACCTCGATTTTGTTCACGTCTATATTGATGACCTGCTAATCGCATCATCAAACGTAGATGAACATTATCAACATCTTACGCTATTATTCCAACGCCTTTCGGATAATGGAATAGTAGTTAACCCAGACAAATGCGAGTTAGGTAAACGAGAAATCATATTTCTGGGTCATGTTATCAAGCAAGAGGGTATTCTACCTTGTGAGGACAAAGTGCAAGCAATAAAGGAGTACAACGTGCCGTCCTCACTCAAGGAACTGAAGGCTTTTCTCGGTTTGGTTAACTTCTACCGTCGTTTCATCCCACACGCGGCAGAACGGTTACGACCACTAACCGACTTACTACGCGGCAACCCACGCAGATTGGAAATGAACGATTCTGCACGTACTGCATTCACTGAAATCAAAACGGCTCTTGCGCAAGCCACTCTTCTCGCCCATCCCGATCCATCAGCCACGCTTAGTATAGCGGTTGATGCATCCGATGTTGCTATAGGAGCAGTCATGCAACAAAACATCTCCGGTAGTTGGCAACCTCTCGAGTTTTTCTCACGACGCCTTACTACCACGGAGACGAGATATAGCGCTTTTGGTCGCGAGCTGCTAGCAGCCTACTGCGCCATCAAACATTTTCGGCACGCAGTAGAAGGACGTCGATTCATTTTATTCACCGACCATAAGCCCTTAACGTATGCTTTGCATACCAAGTCTGACCGCTACTCACCACGAGAGTGCAGACATTTGGACTATATCTCCCAGTTCACGACAGACCTTCGTCACATCCAAGGCAAGTCGAACTGTGTTGCCGATGCTCTATCACGAATCCAAATGAATGCAGTTACCCTGCCGGTGCTCGATCTTCCTGCTATGGCCGCTGCCCAAGCAAACGATCCCAGCTGTACAAAAGCACCACACTCTACGTCCCTTCAGTATCAGGAAGTACCTCTAGCCACGACTTCTGGCACCATTCTATGTGATACTTCTACCGGTCTTCCTCGACCCATCGTACCCTCTGCTTATCGCCGTCTCGTTTTCGATGCCCTGCATGGATTATCTCACCCAGGTATCGCAGCTACATTACGCCTCATCGCTGCACGATACGTCTGGCCGTCCATGAATAAAGATGTTCGTATGTGGGCTAAGCAATGCTTACAATGTCAACGATCAAAAGTGCACAGGCACGTAGCCGCCCCCCTCGGTACATTCGCTACGCCTGATGCTCGCTTCGATCACGTTCACTTAGACATTGTAGGACCACTGCCACCATCGCACGGGTATGATCACATACTCACGTGCATCGACCGCTTCACCAGATGGCCCGAAGCTATACCCATCACGTCTATCACGGCGGAGACAGTTGCTCACCGCTTCGTAGAACGATGGATAGCTCTATATGGTTGTCCCTCGACTGTCACGACTGACCGAGGACAACAATTTGAGTCCGCACTATTCTCCTCACTTACTCGGCTGCTTGGTACGGAACGAATACGCACTACCGCCTACCATCCAGCTTCAAACGGTTTAGTTGAAAGGTTTCACCGTCAACTTAAAAGTGCTCTTCGAGCACACGAAAACGACGACTGGTACGAAACCTTACCGCTCGTTCTTTTAGGTATCAGAACGAGCTTAAAGGCAGATATCCAATGTTCCGCCGCTGAACTTGTATACGGCACGACATTGCGTCTGCCCGGGGAATTCTTCACACCACGGAGCAGACCTAATTTCGCTAAATCAGACTACGTCCAACGACTGTCTGCATTTATGCGAACGCTGTCTCCGGTGTCAACTCGAATACAACATCGACAGGTCGCTCTCCCTCGAGAGTTATCTACCTGTTCACATGTTTTCATACGAGTAGATTCGGTACGCAAACCTTTGCAACAACCTTACGAAGGCCCTTTTCGCGTGATCGCTCGTCACGAAAAGACCTTCAAGGTTGATCGACACGGCCGCGTCGAGATCGTCAGCATTGATCGTCTCAAACCAGCACACGTCGATGACAGTGCCCTATCTGATAACCTGAGATTCAATGCTAGACCTAGCAAACCTACTAGCGGGATCCTCAAACCATCTTCAGGTCCCACGCTAGATACACTGAGACCTCATTCTCACGTCCCAGTCAACAGCGCGCGTCATCCGCACCGTCTACGGACGAGTCTTCAGTCTCATGTTCCGGTCACCGAGTACGGTTGCCCGTACGCTTCCGCGACTAGTCGCACAGTGAACAACTGATACGGTGTAGGATTATTCCTATACTACACGCATACTACACTCTTCTCTATTTTGATTTTCTTTTTGTTTCCTGAGCCCACGCCTTCGATCATCTCCGTTTGGTTCCGTCGACTTCAGTCAACTTTGGCGAAAGCTGGCCTGATCACCCACGCTCTTGTCAACGTACGCAGTCGATATATTGGTTTCGAATGCTTGGCATACGCTTGGTCTCGAACTTCGTTGTTACGGTCGCTTCTGGTCTTTTGGCTCAACGTGGTTTCGTCCTACGTCTGCAACGTTTCTGGTCCGGACCCCTACGAACGCAATCTTCAGATTCTGGATACAAACCACTCTTGTATGGCATGCCAACTCAAGCAACAAATATAGCACATCGCTCCTGGTACCGTTCTCTGAAAAAGACCTTCGTTGGCAACTCGACGATCAACGATCGCTTTCCTGTTCGCCAATTCTTCCGTCCTATAATCGCTCGTCAGCCGATCAGTCCCACGATTCAAACCGCTATTTATCGAAAGTGACTCACGTTTATCACGAGAACACGACTGGTTTAATAAGAACATTTATTATTATAACCAACTGTACAAGTGTTTGTCTTAATGTGCTTTTGTTTAACTGTGCTGATTATAGCCATTTTGTGCTTCCATTACCTTCCATCATTGTTTTGCGGTTTTTGGTACTGTTCTCACGTACTCCTTTCTCCTGCTTCCACTTGTACCATTCCTTGGCACGGTCTCGGTATTCGTTCGATACCATGAGATCGCGAACGAAATAAACCTGGTTACGTTCGACCTTCGCCTTCTGATTTACTTGGCACGTGTTTCTTGGTAGCGGTGTTCATAGTTAATCTCAACTCGACGTCACGCTACAAAGGCATTGAGCTCACTGTCGGAGATATTCTGTACAAAACGGTCAACCTCCTTATTCATCAGTGGCCGATTTGTATAGCTGCGTGCCAGTGAATTCATATTCCGCATAGCAGGGTGACCCAAGTGCAGAAGTTTCAACATTCGGGATCTCATGTAAGTTGGAATAACCAGGCGTTCCAAAGAATGTGCAGTGATTGATAAACATCGGCTCGTCACGTCTACGGATATATTCTAATAAATCATTGTAGACGTTGTTTGGCTGACCATCATGCATATAGTTCGTGACCTATTGAAGTGCATAACTCGACTACTTAACACGCTGAACTATGTTCGCCGTTACCAGTAAGGCGTCAACTGCATCCGACATAGCTCGTTTTAATTCTACATTCTTAAATAATGTCGCTACGACGCGATCCTTCGGTTTGATCTGATCAATCTCGATAACGAATCAGCCTGTTCGAATCTGGTCGTTGACGTATACTTGACAGTGAAACAGCAACCCAACAAGACATGCAGTTAACTGTAGTATGTCTAAAAATATTCGATTATTGGCATGTAGTGGAATAACAGTATTATGTCCGTTGTATTTTATCTTTCAATAAGCATTACAGAAATTTATCGACTTGTAGGCGCCGTTCGAGTTCGTTTTAATAAATGTTTGCACTTTTAATATTAAACAAGATGTATTCGTGTGATCAAGTGAAATGCAGGGAATTTGGATGAACCGACCATGCATACATCAGCCACATTTGTTAAAATTGGCTTGACGAGTCGTCAGCTGGGTGTTGTTGTTTTGAATTATACCGAGAAAATGAGCATTGGGCAACATATGATGGTTCTATTAAGGGTTATGATTGATTGTCATGGTCGGTTTCATGGAGAAATATTATTCAGCGGTCGTTGTGTGACTGTACTATTCGTGTATTGACCACATCCACGACCACACTATCGAGTATGGAACCCGGAAATTTCGGTCGAGTGGGGAACGTAGAGATTATTCGCACAGTGATTCCTAGGTTTCAAAGATGGTCTAACGAGGATCCTCACGTCATGTGAGCTACAAGATTCTAGTGATCTACAAAACAACATTGAACTAACTGTTCATTCGTCAGAGAATATTACTACTGTAAAATCCGAAATCTCTGATTACAAGTTACCTAAAATACGCTAATACTGGAGTGAACAGAACACGGGTAGAGACAATCCAATTGTATTATACCACAAACTTACAGAGTTACTCTTCAAAATAGAAAAACCATATGATAAATCGCTAATATGCAAACTATCAGTCCCTCATATAAACCTGGACTGTTCTTGCAGCAAACATCAATCGATTGTCTCACATTTCACTGTTCATGAGTTTTCTAAAAAATTGCATTGTGCTCTCGCTCTTGCTTTCTAGACCTTACCCCAATCTTCTGCTGCCAGACATTAGGTTTTCAATCCGCGTCATATACTACTTATATCAATATAAGTAGCACACAATACATTATTCATTCTGTTTCTTAACGTATGTGTGTAATCGAAATTTCATTAAACAGCTCTATTCTGACAATGCTATATTGTTTTAGAGGAAGTAGTACCTGGAGGGTCATCCAGTCACCACTCATACATTATTTCACACAATGATCATCTGTGAACAATAAAAAGGTATGCATTTTATCCATGTTTCAATGGATATGATGCTGATTGTCAAACAACTTAATCAAAATGCGTGATCAACAATACAAACATAGTCATGTAACATGTGAATTAACCGTGACACCTAACACAATGATCATTTTATTCCCTTCTGAACCATTGACCCTGATAATTCCGCACAAATCATGACAATCACATATCCACTGTGGATTAAGCGATTTATTGAAATCTCACATCTACTGAAAACTATATAAATGCGTCATTCGACTAATTCATCTCAAGAACAAAACGCAAAAGCAATGTCGGCTAATTCGATGTTTCTCATTGCTTTATTGTCATACACATTGACAAATCAATTAGGCATAACCAAATCAGATTCATGCAAGTATTGTCTACGATTGTACGATGGAAAGTATAAGAGTGGTTCATATAGTGAAGTGTACAAGAGCGTTGACTCACTCTCACCACCATGGATACCTGGATCTGTTTGTGTACCTTTGATACATAATTCGACGGGACAGCCCCCATACTGGCGTATATATGAGTAGGTTTGCAGATCGATTCATTTTTATGATTATGGTTAATGTCTAAGTTTTGCCTATTTCATGCACGTTCTAATTTGCTTGTAAGTGGACACTTAAGATGGATGTTGAAACGTTCCTGTCACTTTTCATTCCATATTTGTTCATCACAGAGACGTCAACTACTCTGGTGCGAACACTGCTGTTGGACGTGGTGCCTGCATTGATGACTTCATGAAATCCGGATTGAGAAGGATATCCTCCATTCAAAAGTGTTTTTATGGGGATAATGGAACGGTTGAATATACCAATCATACGAACGGGAGAAGTGCGCTTATAATTCTGTGTGTTCTTAACTAAATATATGCATGTCAACTCATGAAATTTGTATTCTGAGAGATTCCAAATGATGAGCATTAGTTAGCAAACATAGGCACTTCACGCATGAAGTTATATGCGAATAAATCTGTGTGGACCTATGCTAGGCTTCAAGCTATCACGTGTTCTCTTCATCTGTACACGTGAAACAAGACTCATTTGCTAATTAGCAGTAAGCTATTTGTTGATTCGTCCCAGCCTCGCTAACCAGAGAGAGAAGTCGAAGTCAGGAATGAGCGAGCTCATATATATATATATATATATATATATATATATATATCGATATTGCCATGGAAGATTTTAAACATTTAATCGATAAAAGTAGTTTACTTAATTAACAATTATACGGTACAAATATACGTATAGTATTGGTCCACAAATGGATCCCAAAAATTACCGCCCATTATTCATATCGGGGCATAACAACGTTGTTTGGTCGACCATTATGCACATAGTTCGTGACTCACTGAAGTGCATCACTCGACTACTTAACACGCTGAACTATGTTCGCCGTTACCAGTAAGGCGTCAATTTCAGCCGACATAGCTCGTTTTACTTCTGCTTCGTTGAATAATGTCGCTTATACGAAATCCTCGTTTGTCGTTCGGTTTGAGCTAATCAATCTTCATAATGTCTTAGTCTGTTCGAATCTGGTCGTTGTCGTATAGTTGAAAGTGAAACCATAACCAATAAGGATTTTAGTCCTTCGCTACAAGTGATTTGAAAGGTGTATATTGGGATGTTATACTTTGAAGCGAAAATTGATGGAAGTTGCTATCGGTCTGTTAAGAGAGTGAGACGTCGTGTATGATACTGGAATTCTGCGCCTGCTACTTTCTATAGATGACAGGCCGTCCATCAGCATTATCAAACCCACTCCGTTCATGGTCTTTCTTTCTAGTTCTATCTAATTGTTGTTCATTTTTCTCATGACTGCCTCCATTTTCCGGAGTAATGTGTTGATTCGGTCTTCCACTTATCCTTTAGCATTGCGGAATCCAGTTCAATTTTCTTTAGATTTCACCCTTTTTTGAAGATGAAATTTATTAATTTTCGGATTTCAAGTGTATACATACCATATATCTTATTTATTTGAATTGACAGTGGTTAACAAATCTCGCTTTTGCAGTAACCATTATCGTAATAACATCTAGTGAACGAATCTCGATTTTGAATGCAAGATATTATTCACTCGATATTAGTCAGTAAGTGCATGGACGTCAATGGTCGAACACTAAATTTGAAGTAAAAATCAATCTTTAAAAGAGACGTTTACCAATAATTATGAGACTGTGAATTTTTAAAATAAATGTTGAGCTTAATTATCCACTGACCGAATATATCCAGTTGTTCGACATACAAGAAAGATATATTCCAATAGACCCTCATAGTGATCATTCAACAAATCGTTGAAACAGAACTTGAAACATTTATTCTCTCTCGTCTCTAAGAAATCATTACGAATAATCACAATATTTATTGAAATGACCATTCTTAATCATCATAACTATGATGATGTATCAATTGTTGCGTCGGTCATACATTAGTGGCATTTGTCGAGTTACTTACTTTTCATTAATTTTCAATCTGTGTATTCATTTTTCATCCAGAGGTTTTCAAAGAATTTATATTGAGGAGATTTCCTACAGGTATTCAGTCTTCTTGTGGATATACTTTGAAACAATTATCAACATAATTCATTAATATTGAAATTTCCTACAGGTATTCAGTCTTCTTGTGGATATTACTTTGAAACAATTATCAACATAATTCATTTAATATTGAATACAAAGTCTTTAATTATAAAATAATAGTTGGGTTTGAAATCAGCGGTCTAGAGTTAATGAGAGAGCGCGAGATCGATGCTTGTTTCGATTGACGGTTAAGGTGCTTAGGATTGAATTTGTCTTACGGATATTCGACCGGAACAATAAACGTGATACTGGCGACCCAGAGTCTATGTGAAAGCTATAAACAGAACAAGGAAACTTGACCTTAAACTTTATTTGTTTCTAAACGTGAAAACAATTCGACTGGTAGAATAATTAAACAAATTGTGGTGTTTATGTGGAACGCACAAACAAACTGACCAGTACTGCGTTTAAGCAACGATTTGATTGATCGGGTACGGTTATAACTATCATGCAGTCATGGATGATCCCTACCATGGATTGCCAAATTCGGATCGTGTCTCCGTCCAATATTTACCAGCATCCAATACTGGACTTCCCGTGATCAACTCGATATTTATGATGTGAAAATTGAACGGTTGCCACCAAACTCAACTGAATTCCAGTTAAAAAATGTTGGTTCGTAGTTGTTTTCCTAATAACAACAATAATCACAACGACATTCACCATGAACAAGAACATTGTGTAAAACACAAAAAAGCTATGTATAATGAGTAAAAGCGACAGTCATTCGATTTCACAGAAATGAGTGGAAGTCACAATGAAATAGAAGGATGGGAGTAATGTTGTTGTGTACCAATAAAATGTCTCTACACAAAATAGTGCATCCCCTTATTTTCAGTCATGCACATGAAAGTTGTCTCACTTGAAGATCCTAATCTCTTTACTCTCGTTGTTGTAGAAGTAAACAGCAATACTGTGTGAAGACGTTACACTAACTTTTATTGTTAATATATTAAATACATAACCCAGTATGAATTGTTACCTATGAAGTCATCATGATTATTCAATGTTCATATTTCCTCACTGAACTAGTACATGATATATATATATTCCAAGTTGATTCATTGAAAGCTACTCTCTCAAAGTGCTTCTGATTTTAACTTGATAAACTTGCATTCATTGTGTCGGTTCAATTATTTTCTGAATACGAGTCCTTTCAGTTTTAGCTGGAATTCAGTTTCAGAGTGACTAAAGGTTATCAAGACTTCCTTTAACTTGATTGTTGACACTAGCAATAGAGAGCCATACACCAGTACTCTATATTGTTTGCGATAACAATAAAGCCGTGTCAAGAATCGAGCGAGTTATAAAATCTCTTTGAGTATGGACACTGACTGCCGAAATGGTGGATAATGATTAATGGTAGAAAAAGTATTGTCTACTTCGTCATTAATATTACTCTGATAATTGACGTAATCTTTAGATTGTAGATTTGTTATGATGTATCTGCCTAATGTATAAGATATTACAAGGAATTCACATCTTACGATGACAGTTCAACAATATTCTTTGTATGAGCAGAAGATAAATGGTTCAACACCCTATGTCTTCTGTCAGCTGGTAACTCAACTACTGAGAATAATATAATGATGACTCACCGGGTCATATAAAATGAAGCTTTTAAGACGACTTCCTACTATTGTAGCCAATCTACCAACAATTAGAAATTAGAGTAGACACGATTATTATTGTACTACTAACATTATCATTACTATGGTAGGAAAACTTTGTGTCCAAGCTTAGTTACGCACTGAAGACAATGGAGGATGGCGATGCAATGTTGTGGGCCATCTTGAGTCACACATGCCGTCTTAGTGTCTAGAGATTGGTTGTATGAGTGTGATGCTGACGGTCTAGGGTTCAGGTACCCTAGGCGGCGTTGCTGAAACAGAGTGGCCTTCCATTACTCTCAAGTTTGCATTGGTGGTCTAATATTGATCGGTTCATGAACTCAAGTAAAAGTGTCTGTTTTTTCGTTGGTTATCAACCTCATAGGAGAAACTATAATTGAAGGAAAATTGAGCATGGTGAATCAGTTGATTCTATCATTATTCCTCACGGGAGGTATCTTAATATTTCGTCATACTAGCGAATATTGAAGCCAATTTTGAACAACGAACTTAGATTTTCTTGTCAATAAATAAAAGTTTCGAAAGTCAACTGGGATTTATTCAATATGTTTTCCCGATCAAAATAAAAAAATATCTAGTACCTGTTAAATTTATCGAAGCATCTGATTACAAAACTGAGATATGCGCAAAATCAAGTTTCATAAAACAGTGACTTGTACAAATAGCGGTACTTCATTGGGGAATAAACATAAATTAGTTACAAACCTCGATTCGTGAAGTGTCTTTGATGTTTATAGAGCCCATAAATCTGAGAGAAAAAAGGGCTCTTCGCAATAAAAACACAAGGAATAGTTATAGTCTAAATGACAGGTGATACTTGTGTCTAATTTTGATAACAGTTCATCATGCAAAATGGGAAACGAAAGCAGACATATATAGAAACCGTTGCATTTAAACAAAGATTAAACGACTATGCGAAATTGTGAATAACTGTTACAGAGATTGGGAGGAGGTATTTACCATAATAAATATAATAAATGTTATAAATATGTCAAAAATTTGGAAAATTACTCGAAAAACTCGCGATACAGCATACACATAGAAATTGCAAGGAAAACTATTTACTTAATAATAATAAGTAGTATAAAATAATATGTAAAAGAACGGTCGATTGGAAGATTATAAGGAGAGAGGACGTTAGCAAGTTTAACAGTAAAATATAAATGAAAGAGTACTGTTCTTTTAAAATAAATTCGTAAGAATTCTCCAAATTTCATCTGCATACGAACTTGTTAAATACTTTATTTACACTTGTCGATGCATAAGGAACCCGATCGTTTGTTACGTTGATCAAAGCACTCACCACTTCTAAGATATACACAAAAACACCTAACATATTTCAGATTGAATCCTCGAAGTAAAAATTAAAAAATATTACATGTTGTGTTGGCAAATTTTGAAAGAATACTGGCAAACAACCAATAATAAATATTACGACAATTTGCGTTTTTCCAAACAGGTGATCATATGATGCGTACAACATTTTCTCACCATGCTATCAGATGAAAATACCAATCGCTCTCTGTTCTCGTTCTTTTCCACTCGATCTTCTTAACCTTCTATCTCCAGGTACTTCACTTTAGAATGATGATATATATTACTTATATCTATCGAAATCAGTAGCACATATCACAGATGTAGACGAGAGAGATCAGTT